CTAACAGTGACGGACGTTGACCCAGGGAGCACGTCATTCGATGTCAACTTGGATGCAAAGAGCGCTGCTAACGGGATGTTTGAATTGAAGAGCCTGACACCAAATACGGTTTGTTACCAGACTATAATAAACCACTTCTCGCTAAATCACGCTAACCTCTGCTGCGATATACCAAATCGTAGCATAATGCGAAAAGATTTTGTGCAATTTACCATACCAAACTAGGCCATACTATGCATTCAAAATCTACCAAACTTGATTGAGTCGAAATACTCCTTACTATGCCACATGATATGATCATACATTAAATCAGACCATGTCATGCTATAAGATATATAATATGCGCTATTCTACGTAGTACTACAGTGGAACAACTACTAAGTACCATATTATTTTAATCTACACCATCACGTAGAATGTGATATTATCCTCCACGATGTTCCACTAAACTGTATAAGTTCCAAATTATATAAGAATGCTTATACAACATTTCATGCAATAACTAAATGATTGGACCAAATTTATATTCGCTACTTAAAGTAGCCAGAATATTTTTATGGCTGTCGACCTGTTTGCAATTTTGTATCATCCCACTGTGATTATATTTAACAAAAATTCTAAGCACTGCTATGTTAAGGCACTAGTGAAAAATACTAGGGCTCACGAGAGTTATGTATGGAAAGAGGATGTACATGTAGATTGAACATAATATGGCCAGTTGGTCGAAGCTTCTGGAGTTATCGTATTTAGATTAGCAGTAGTCTGCAGAAGTTGATCAAAAGTAGATGAAAGCCACAGAAAAGTGAGAGGAACTTCCGTGAAGGCGTGGTATGTGGTGTGAAAAGGGATACCCCGAGGTAGTGGTCATGGCCAAAGGTGCTCAATTCCAGTTGAGAGCCCTGCTTCAATGACTCTGCGCTCGATTCCTGGCTAGAGATAGTGAGACTTCAAGGTAGAAGTAAACACTCGCTGGTTGAATAACAATACTCCAACTTGGAGAGTGGAAGAAGAGGTCTGAAAGAAGGCTAATCAACACAACTAGACATGGAAGCAGCGATTGAAGTAACAACACTGTAAGGGTCCAGATAAATGTTGAATCAAAAATATGAAGGGAGGAGGAAATAAGTCTCGTAATTAGTAACGGAGCTGAACTGATGCAAGGGGTTTGAGGATAGGCCACCACAATTTAACATAAAACAGAATACTCAACTTCACTAAATTCCAATAAACATTATAACGAAATATTAAACTGAGATATGAAGACCAAGATGGTGTCGCCTTTTGTGTGGTCGCAGCCTCCTTTCGTTGGATTCAAGTTGTTTGACCTTGTGTTCACAACTTGGTCATATTGGTAGGAAGAAGTATATGAAGGCACCTAGTCCGCAGTCCGTTGTATGCACTATCATTTCCAAGGTCGGACTGTGGACGTGGTACATTCCCAGACGCTTCGCCAGCATTGTCAGTAAGTCTTGCCATTCCCAGCACCACACTACAACTCGTTAAAGAGACAAGCGAAGCCGATCCTTTGACCAAATGTGTGCTAAACAGTTGTGGTATCTCCCCTGTTATAGGCTATTCACCTCTCCTATATCCTCGTATCACGCCTTCACTATAACTATTTATTTTTTCCCTTGGTTATTTACATGTATTGTGGTGTGCCCTTTTAATCGGCTTTCATGAGGACCCTTCACACTACACGCTGGCGTTCTCACCCCCCTTCCCCCTCGTGCTGGGAATGTTGATCTGCATCTGCAGTCCTCCTTCCCTAGGTCTTATCACAGTCTCCCTCTTGCCTCATAGGATCCGTCTGCTATCTCCCTGGTTCAAGTATTTCACTCGACCTCTGCCACCCATCTGTTCTCCACGAGGTGTTATTTTCCCCTCTCTGCGTCGGGGAGACTAACTTGAGGCTAAAGATGCCGAGTAATTCTCATGGTCAAGCCTTTGCTACATAGACCACGCCTATGGTAACACAGGCCTACTTTCAGCCAACAAGCCCCAGTCTCAACCGCGTCTATCCTGTTTCAATCCTTAAAACCAAGCCTATGACTTGCTATGCCATAGTCTCTTGTGTAGCAACCCGCAAACATTGTGGTTCAAAATTGAACCTAATCAAAGCAAGCAGTGCCACAACATGTGTGGGTTGCTACACGAGAGACTATGGCATAGCAAGTCATAAGCTTGGTTTTAAGGATTGAAAAATTATAGACGCGGCTGAGGCTGGGGCTAGTGGGATGGATGACAGTAGGCCTGTGTTGCCATAGGCGTGGTCCACGTAGCAAAGGCTTGACCATGAGAATTACTCGGTTTCTTTAGCCTCAAATTAGTCTCCCAGACGCAGAGACTAGGAGATAACGCCTTGCGGAGAACAGATGGGTGGCAGAGGTCGAGTGAAATACTTGAACCAGGGAAATAGCAGACGGAACCTATGGAGCAAGAGGGAGACTGTCATAAGACCTAGGGAAGGAGGACGGCGTAGCAATATGGCACCGATCAACATTCCTAGCACAAGGGTGAAGGGGAATTGAGAAGGCTAACGTGGAGTGTGGAGGGTTATCATGAAAGCCGCTCAAAAGCAAACATCATACAACATTTAAATTATGATCATCAGGGTCTAACATTAACCTTTTATAACTCTGATTTAGGACCGGTATATCGTATAGACGCTAGCACACACACGCAGACACTCGAGCAAAAGTGGCAGGACCAGTATGAAGGATAAATAGCCAAACCACTCTATATCGATCTAGGTTTTTAAATTTCTTTTGGCTTAACTGAGTATATATAAGAGGTAGGACAAAGCCGGATAGTCTTCTTGGCCTAGTGTTAATGTAGGACTTTTACAAGAATGACACCCAGCTCTGATGATGTCCATTATATGATGGACCAAAGCTCAGCACTTTTTCACGCGAAACGAAAGAGGAAGTTTTGTGGACTGCGTCAACATGAATATCGTATAAAAGCCAAACGGCTGCAGTACAACGAGATTCATGCGTCCTAATCTGGTGAGATCGACCAACGAATCTCTTCTTCATGCACTTTCATACGAAATGAAGGTTCCCCTAACAATACATTTAAATAAGCAAGGAAAAAGTGTGATAGTGAAGTCGTGATAGGAGGATATAGGAAATGTGAATAGCCCAGGACGGAAGGAGAGATACCACTACAGTTTAGCACACATATGATCAAAGGATCGGGTACACTTGTCGCTTCGACGAGTTGCTGTGTGGTGCTAATGGCGAGACTTACTGACGATGCCGGCGAAGCGTCTGGGAATGTACCACGTCCAGGGTGCGATTTTGGAAATGATCATGCATAAATGGACTGCGGATTAGGTGCGTTCCTTTTAGTCTTCCTACCAATATGACCAAGTTGCGAAAACGAGGTCAAATATTAAACTGTTGCAGAACACACCTGAATGTTTGTATTATATAGAAGTAATTTGACTGTTTTCGCAACTTGGTCATATTGGTAGGAAGACTTAGAGGAAGGCATCTAGTCTGGAGTCCACTGTATGGTGCGTTCCTCTAAGTCATCTTAACAACCTGACCGAATTGCGAAAACAAGGTCAAACTACTTAAATCTAACGAGAAGACTACGACCACACAAAAGGCCACACCATCTTGGTCTTCATACCTTCATATTATATATTTTAAGAAATAACCACTAAATGATTGGAGTGAACTTACATTCACAACTCCAAACAGCCAGTTTACTTTTAGGACCAGTTGGCTCTTCTGACTTTCGCTTTCACACTCCTGTGTCAGTTTTGAAGTCTCTTCAGGATTGCATAACTGGGAAATGGGCAATTGTTAAGAGCGGCAGGATGAGTCGACTCTTGGTAAGATCTATTACGAGATTTTCATTAAGCCTGATTCAACAGACTGATAAATAAATTGCATTCAACAAATATACATAAATACCATTCACAGATCTCGCGGGAAATAGGGTGCGAGCTGACCCCTTGATATAGATTCAATCAAGTCAGGTCCAATTTTCTGGTCATTAGTAGATACTGCTAGTGACATATCAGCCGGCCCAGATAGAATGTAAGCAAATGGATCGACCTAAGTCGCCACGTCGTGGATCACCACCAAGGCTGGACCATACCAGTCTGGTGCATAGAAATGCTATGCCCCACCTGCAGGACTACCAAGAGAGCTGATATAAAGGATGTATCCACCCTATCTCGATTAGGGTGAATTTTCCCACAATGACATGAGTAGTTATCATGCTTCCATTGAATTTCGCATAGCCTTGCTTCCCAAAGGGTATTCCCAACCAGGGAAAGCATGAGGCTTGGTCATATCATTGTGGGAAACTCCAAATACCACTCCTCCATTAGCTTAAACGAAATAGGGAGAATACAATTCTAGTATGCTTCTGTTGCATATTTCCATCCGCATACTCATCCATCATCGTCCCTCGATCAAATTCATTGCATACCTCCCTCGCTTGTTTGTAGGCGAAATTGTCTCTTATCGACACTCTGGACCGCGACAAGTTACTAACGCTGCAGGCGAACGCGGGCACCGCTCCCGGCGGGGCCGGCCAGGAGGTCAGCAAGCCGACCGAAAGTGAGCCGGGTCGCCTGCTCATCTGGCCTCTAATTGTCACCGCCTCCGAGCGCCAGGAGCCCCGGCATACCGCCAGCCTCACGCTCAGCTTGACCGTCAATTCGCCTGGACCAGTCATCCCCAGCTCCGAGCTGACTCGTCTGGTGCCTGGCAGGCTCACTGCCGACGCCCCCTTGATCGAAAACCTACAGGCGATGTAAGTAAAGAGGGAAAACGAGAGGTAATTAGTCAACTGGGGCCTTCTTTAGTCTTCTTCCCTGTGTCACTATGTACTAGCACGCATTAGAAACGGCGACATTAACGCAGTGACGAGTAGATAGCATCGAGAGAACGCGTGGAAATGGCGCGGAGCCCGCGAGTACTGGGATCACAGTCTCAGCGTTCAATTTAGTGCGTGATGCATGCGTCAACTTCTGATTGGTTCCTTCCTGGCCTGATGTGATAGGCCAGTCTGGTAGACCCAATGGAACGAAAGGAATTTATCGACCAATTTTATGCATGAGTCAGGTCCTCGTGTGAAATAGGATTTTGGCGAATTGATGAGATAGACTGCGTCAGATTGCTGGATTTTTAGCGGACATAATAAAAGTGGGTTGACCTCGCAACTTGGCCTTCTTGTCAGGGCGACTTAGTAGGACTCACCTAGTTCGAAGTCGTGTGCTCTAGTAGTTGTCATGATTCCCAGCATCAGACAGGGGACTTGTACATTCTCAAACGTTTCGCCGGTAGCATCACGCCGGAGCTTTGACTTAATATCTATAAACGTAAACAACTTATAACGTTCAGTATCATAGGACTCACCTAGTTCCTGAATAGAAGCCTGGTGGAGATACTCATTAACCTTATCCGAGTGGTAGGGTCTATAAATGTAAAGTAGACTGCGACCATACCAGAGGCCACAACATCTTGGTCTTCATAGCTTCAATGGATATAATAAAGTTTCGAAATCAGCTTATATACGAAAATAATAAAGTTTTAACTGTGTCTTCAAATAGCCCTCTCAAACTGAATATTAAATAAGTCCCAAGGGGAGATACCACAACTGTTTATCA